AGAGAGAGAGAAAGAGAGAGGCGTGCTGCCTCCAGGCCATGTCGTGCATTCCGTTGGCAAGTGGGGTCCCTGTACAAAGGCAGTGTGAGCTAGGGGGTGGGTTGGAAGGGTGGAAACGATAAAGGGTGTCGGTCGATGGTACGGAGTGAGAACTGTAGTAGAGTATGAAGAGGAAAATAGAGAGAGAGAGGGAATTGTAATGGTGGTAGTGGTAGTGGTGGTAGTGTGCGGAACAGGATTCCCAGTTACCGGGACGCCGACACCGACGTCGACTGGCTGCATGAGACTGTAATGCGTTATTAATGAACACCAAGAATTTCATTAAAGATTGTTTGTATATCAAACTGTCCACTAAATTATGCCGTATAACCCCACGTTGGCGCCTTCTCGCGCCTAGAAACTATTGGCTCAACCCAAGCTTTTCGAAACATCAACTTCATTCCTAAACCATTCTTTCCTAACCCTCCCGCCCCCTAATTAAAAAGAAACTTACAGCTCATTCAAATCTTAAAATCGTCATCTGTCGAATATTAGGAAATCAAAAAATTCTTCCTGTTATGGGAATAAATTTTAGTGGATTCTTTGACTTCCTGTAGGTTCGAGCAAAGTCAGTTATTTCGCGACCTTCGTGAACATACATTATTAGGAAGGGACGATATAGGTAAGTACGTTCTGGCGCGTGCGACAGAGGTAAAGAAGGGGAATGGTGGCTTTGAAGAGAAAGAGAGATCGGCTAGGGTGAACGAGCATGACACCAAACTGTATGAGAAAGAGAAACAGAGAGATAGAGAAGAGAAGGAATGGTCGAGAGGGGTGTGGAAGTCGCGGAATGAAGAGTGGGGAGTTGTAGAGAAAGGATGGGTGGGGAGATACAGTTAATCGTTGGGAAGCTATTAACTTCGGACTGGAATGCCCCATAGCGCCTCATTTCGTTCAATGCAAATTTACACCGACGCCGACCACCTAGCATCATGCTTCCTCCACCCTTTCCCCCTCCACCCCCTATTCCTACTCCTACTCCGACCCTTTTTGTCCGAAAACTGCATGTATACCGGGTGTGTTCCCCCGTTGTCATCCACCTTCGTCGTCGTCCTATCTGGCCCGTTTTATTTCTAAGATAAAAAAAATTATTCAAATATTATTCGAATAACCTTGAAAAAAAAGCTGATGCATTCTTCAATTAGATGAATTACTGTAAAAGAAAATTGTCAATTAGTAATATGCCCATTTTAGTCGCCTTTTACGACATGCATGAGCTACATTGGGACTATTCTTTAATAACACCCGGTCACCATACGGGTGAAATAAATTTACAACATATAAATCATTTTTTGTTATTGTCGAGTTCTAAATAAAATTTTCTGAATCCTTAGCTGTCAGGAGTAGAGGAAATTATTACTTGAAGCCAAGTGCGCAACGCGAAACACGGAGAAATTACGCGTATGCCGAGGTCGGCTGACGAATGGGGATGTAACGGGTGCTCAAAGTACACATAGTTAACGTTAGTAGAATATGCCAGAAGCTGACTAACGATGGCTGATGTTACGCTATATAATTTCAAAACATACCTATACTCTAAACTCATATATACGTTGACTTAGATGAGAAGAAGAAGAAGAAGAAGAAGGTAAGGGGTAGTAGGGATAGGTGAATGGGTGGTAACTGAACGAGGAATGGGAGTTAAGAGTTGAGGGTTGGGGGTTGGTGAGAAAGACACTGAACTACCCAACGGTTAGACAAAAGATCGCGAACATTGCGAGCTGACACCACCTTAATATGGACAAATGTTCAACAATATCTCAACAGGGCTTTGCTTTGCATTATTTGCCTAACATTCTCGTTTGCCTTACATCCTTATACGAGAACACCGGATATGCCTTACCGTTTTACGACGATGTCTTCTTTCCCATTCCAACCCCATTCCATCCCCCACCTACCCCACATTCCCACTCTCTCCATTGCTCACCCCTTCTTTCTTATCCCTACTCTCTTCCCTCGTATATTACCATGGTACTTATCATTAAAATTTAATTCATTCCATGACCTTAGAGAAATTAGACACACAAAGCTTACTCTCATAAGTTTTCTCACCATTTATGGCTGTTAGTTAAGAGGGAGGAAAGATTCAAAGGAATAAAAGCTACGCAACGATGCGAGATTTTAACACCCCCCGTTTTCCTATTCCTTCTTTTCTGTCACACATCTTTCGGTTAGAATAAGATTCACTGATTGCGTTTGCAATGAAAAATAAAAAACAACTTCAACGTGAACATTTCTCGAGTCTTTTAATCTCACTCACTCAGATCAAAAGTTATCCCGTTCGTCAATGATGACGTTCTACTAAAAGATAAGAAAAATCTGTTAGATGAGTTACTTAAACATTGAATGTATCAAACGAAATGGCAAACTGTTTTTAAAATGGAGTGTCAAGCGGTAAGGTAAGGTAAGGTAAGGTAAGGTAAGGTAAGAAAAAGATCAAGAAAAATACGAAGAAGTGGTTAGGTATATACTTTGGATTTTAAGAAACCGTGACAAGGAAGACTCGAGAGATGTCTATCCGACTGGTGCTTAACGAAAGCACGTAGAACGACGACGGTCTTAATGGTTCTGCCCTTGCACTGTGAAGAAAGAAAAAGAAAACGAAAAAGAAAAAGAAGAGGACAAAAAATAAAATAAAATAAAATAAAATCAAAAGGAAAGGAGAGAGACAGTAAGAAAAGGAAAAAGAAATACCGAAATAAAGAGACAGAAGGCGAGTAAAACGGTGAATGGTGAAAAAGAAAAGTCTAAGGAGAGAGAGTTGAAGGGAAAGGGAGGATAAGGGTAAGAGGAGTAGGAGTGGGAGAAGGATGGAATGGATGTGTTCACATTATACCCTCTGTTCTTTTAATTTCTTCAAAGGACCCGTTTCCCCCGCGACACTTTAGCCAAGTCTGACTCTGACTCCGCACGAGCGAACGAGCAAGCACCACCACCACCACCACACCATCACCAACATCAACACACCCCCTAGTAGTAATAGTAGTAGTAAGGGGGTAGTCTTTACGCGCTACTGGATTAATAAGGCGTCGACAATGTGACGTCTTTTTTTCTTTTTCTACGCGGAACGGGACGGGACGAGACGGGACGGGACAACGGGCAAAGTGAATGAGGGCTCTCGTAGATAGAGAAAAGAAAAAGAGAAAGAGAGGGTTTAGTGGGGGTGTGAGTTAAAGAAAGTGAGAGAAACGATGCTCTCTTATCCTCTTATGCTTGCTACGAGGTGAACTCCCGTTAATAAATGTGTTTCTAACGGTCTGACGAAGAGGAAGATGGTAGAAAGTTAACGTTACTGAGAAAGAGGGATGATGAAGCGAGAGGGAATACATAAGAGGAACAAGAAAAAGAAGAACTAGAATAAGAAGAAGACCTCAGTTCAGAGAAAAGGTACTCACTCGTTACGTTATGCCATCAACCGACCCAAGGGAGTTAGTCTTAATGAGCAAAGAACTTTTAAAACGCACGAACCTTTCATTCGTCGATGTCGAAACGTAAGCTTTAGCTTTATCTCCCTTTCTACTTAGAATTTGTCTAACCAAAGTACTCCTGTTATTTCTGAAATAGTGACAAATATATACTACTTTGTGTTCTATGGTGTATAAGGGGTGTGAAGTGTTTATTATTCCTATTTATTGGGTTCAAAATTTGTTAATAGTCAAAATCATTTTTTCCTTATTTAATAACACGTACTTGTTACTCTTTGTTGAATTATATTATGCAAGATAATACTCGCCTTTGTTTAAAACATATCAGCAATCATTTCATTTTTAGGATTACATCTGGTTTGTTTGTTAATAAAATTACAAAATTAGAATTACCAATATATATATACAACCTGACATTCAATTCTAAAGACTTGATCATTTATTCGAAGTATCAAATCAACCCCCTTTTATCTCATTGTTTCGTTCAAGTGATAAGCCCTGGTAATTTGTATTTCCTATATCGATAAAGAGTCTTCATCTATCTTCAAGATATTTTCCCTTATTTTCCTTTTTACCTTTCACCTTCCTTTTTTTTATCCGGAATGTTCCTTATTTCCTCCTCCTCCCCGCTAGTCCCTTGTTTCAAGCTCCTCCTATTTCGAACGGAAAGAACCATGGCCTAGCCTCTGGGAAAAAAAGTAATTACCTCTTGATACGCGCCGATACCCCACCTACGGGGATGCCTGCCTTCCTTCCTTCCTTCCTTCCTTGTAATGATGTTCTCCTTGGCTCGAACTTAGTTCGAAATTAAATATCGAGGGGGTTGCGACGAACTTTGGTCGGCTATGCCAAAAGTAAGAAAGAAAAAGATATGAATTTAAAGATGAAAGAGGACAAAAAATACGCCCGAAGAAGAATCGCGTTGCTGTACTTTGGTTATAGGGGTATAGGTTATAGGGGTTGGGTTGGGTTGAGTTTAGTTGGGTGAGGGGTACCTTGCGAGGGTGGATAACGTTTTGCGTCGTGCACCTGCCTATTTCCCGAAGCACCGCACACCATACTACAATTCACCACCCATACCACACCACACCATACCCAACAGCACAGCACAGCACAGCACAGCACAGCACAGCACCGTTCACTGTGATAAAAATCAAACCAGAAAACAAACAAGAGAAAAAACGGGATCGTATTATAAAGTTTTTTAATCGATAGACGATCCGTACCGGGAACGTCAGCAAGAGACTGGAATAAAGAAGATGGGGTGGTAGGGGAAATGAGGAGTACAGTGGAGTGAACAGAAAAAGAGGGTGTGTAATAAGTATATTCTTACTTTGGAATATCCAAAGACACCAACAACAAAGAAACTCTGATCGAAGGAATCCCTTGACGTGCTCTTTTACCGAATTTACCATTTATTAAACAATTATCAATTGTTTGATTAATCTCCTCAAACCATCTTCTTTATTTTTTTTTTCTCTCTTTTTTTACTCTAACGTTGGTGTTCTCTTTTTTTTTCCTTTTTTTTTTCTTCTGGATCCGTTTCAGACCCTTCAACCGACAGATCCACCAATCTTCGAGGTTTTGAATATATCCATCAATGAAACGGCCACCCAAGTTGCTATATGGGGTAATCTGGGAATTGCCGTCATTGAGTTACCAAAACGTTGGGGCAAAGATGCTGCGTTTCAAGGTGGAAAGGAAATCATTTTATGCGCGTAAGTAGACGTTTTATTTCAATCAATCAAACCTAATTCGATGTTTAAATTAAAAACAATAACAAATGAATAAAAATCGACACCAGGATAAAGATTAAATTGTTAATCGGTTTGATGGGAGATGGGTAAGAAATTCAACGCGTCTCATCTTATTCTTCTTCATCTCCTTAAGTTCTCATGGGCGTCCTCCTAATATCCCGTAATTAAGAGGATGTTACGATGACGCCGCTCGAAACCAACCCCGTTTTGGCCTCCCTCTTATGGAATTAAGGTGGCTTTACTCGCTTAGTTTTCTAAAGTTCCGAGGGCCAGAAAGCACCGCTGAATACTAACCGCCTCATCAAGGACACATGCCGCCTCTTCTAGCCCACTACTACTACTGTCTTTGCCTAACATTATCTCTTCTCTAAACCAACACACACCACTTTTCAAACCAACGTGTTGTCTCAAAGGTATCGAGTGATCTAACAACTAAGATTTTCATCATAAATTGGGTCTTAACTTTCTTTAACAACTACAAAACAACATTAATTATTTCATACTCAAGTGTCTAGTCATATTGCAACGACAAAAAAGAATCATACTTGTTTAAAATTATTTAATTAAACATGATGAACATTTTTTAGATGTGCTAAGTTTTGAATCATTTATATATTGGGTTAGTAACTAAGTAATTGTGGATTTTATCGATAGATGGCTTTTTTAAATTAGCAATGACTTAGTTGCTAACCCAATATATGAAAATATTTGATTGAAAATAAGATTAGAGATTGAAAATTTAGGAACAGGTTAAACAACCTATGAACGAGTTTTGCCACCTCCAGTTGTCTTTTTCATAATAGTTTCTTAGTAATCTGAATTTGAAAATAGATGGGCATTTACCTCTTTCTCTTTTGCTAGGCTTCCTACTAATACATAATTTGAAACTTTCCAAACAAACTGTTGAAAATTAAGAGTGCACTACAGTTGAAACCAAAAGTTTTTTTCTCAACGAGGAAACCAAGAAGAGAGGGGAAAAGCGTCCAGCAGATTTGGGTAGATTTATAAAGAAGACGACACTCACGTAGAAAAACCCAACGTCCTATGCACAAATTATAAAAGACCGCGAAACAGTTTATAAAAGAGTCCTCGGCCTACCCCCACATCCCACCTCCACCCATTAGAACGAATCTCTGGGATTTAATGTCTTCTTCCTTTCTACTACTACTACTACTACTACTACTAGCAAAACCTAACTTAAAACAACGCTAAAATGGGCTTTATACCTTATTGTCCACACAAAACTTTTACCTAAACTTCTAAGATTTTTACTCAAGAGAAAAAAAAACCCCCCTAAGATTTAACAACTGTAATAACTTTTTCTCCCTTAACTAAAATATAAATCCAAGAATACTAAGAAATCCAGTTAATCTAACAATAAGATCACAATGAAATGTTTTTCCCAACACAATTATTAAAAATAAAAAACGTCAAACAAAATAAATCGATGAGGGTTGCATCTCCTAAACCTAAAAGAAAAATCAATACGTAAAATATTCCAAATTTTCATTCGTCCGTGATCATATCCGTTAAACGTTTGTGAAACGTTAACGCGAAAAGGTGGGAAGGGCACGGAGGGGGTGGAAGACTCAGTCACGGATTAAGCAAATGGCGGCAATAATAGTGATTATTCGGATTATGATATCAGAGCGAGAACTGGGTTCGCTTGGACTTACCAGGAGCCACTAACTGCCGTGCCACCAAATCCTTACTTCAAGACACCGGATTAAAACTATTACCACTTTGCGATCCTTCCCTACCTCACCCTACCCTTCCCATACACCTCTTCGGTCTTTCCTATGATTCCAAACGTTACTAACTCTTTTACTTCTACACTAAATTTGATCCTTTCAAAATCGTTCAACATTTCTAAAAAGTTGGGATCACTTTGCTGATCATTGCAACCCTTGTCTTCTATTAAAAATAAGAAATCAAATTAATAGTTGAAAAAATAGGATTTAGAATAGGATTGGTTGATTGACAATTGGACAGGACCTAACAAAATTCAAGTATAACATAAATATTTTACGAAGCCCACAAAAGTTAGGACAAAAAACGTAATTGGGATGAAAACCAAATGAATCTTTAGGGTTACACAAAAGTCATTAACTATATAATATATTTATACAACCACGAGAATAATCGTTTTATGAAGTAAGTAGAATCCCTGGTGCATAAGGTAAGTAAATGTGTTGTAGAAGTAAGTCCTCGTCTAGCCCCTTACCCGTCGCGACTTCGCGGCAGTAATTCGACAACGAATTGCGAAACCAGTGCAATTCCACGTGGCAAAGGAAGATTGCCGGTTTCTCCATCTCCTCCTCTACTTCCACTTCCACCTCCTCCACCTTCGTTGGCTCACGCGGCGCTAATTATTGTTTTAAGGATTACCGTTATGTGTTTATTATGCGACCAGGAGGAGGACCACCACCTTGTTCTCGTTTCTAACTCCCCATACCCATCTTAATATCCGCTAGAATTCAGCTTCGGTCTCTTACACACAACGAACAACCGGAAACCAACCCCCATTTCTCCATTTCTCCATTTCTCTCTTTCTTCGACTATTGCTAAGTGTTGGCCTACGTTTATGAATAATTCTCATCTTTGTTAAGTAGACACTTTTCGGTAAAGCACACATACACATACATTCACCCTTTCTTACTAGTAACTTGAACAACAGTAAACTTCTAAATTCTACTGAATTTCAACAGTTGATATGATTGCTGTATTATCTCATATAAAATATATTTGATTTTAAATATTACATCTCACCTAGTTTATCCCAAATATTCTTGAACATTTTCAAAATGAATAGCAACCTTATTAAAAATAATAAAACCTTAATGAGTGTAATCAAACAATCTACTAATCGTAAAACAATCGTTTTCTCATATCATCGAGCAAAAGAAAATCTCGTAGCTACTTGGTATGAGAACGTGCTATGGAATATTTCATGTCAGTCCAACGAACGAGCTAACAGCAGCAGCAGCAGCACCAGCAACGGATCTCTCATCCCCTCTTCCTAGTAGAAAAGAGAAACGATGAGAGAACAAGAGAAAGAGAGAGAGTTGACTCTCATCGCTATCTGTAACAGCGTGCTGAGAGTCAAGCTCGTGTGTAGTCGAGAGAGAAAGAGAGAGAGAGAGGTAGGGTGTTGGAAGGGTGGGGGAAAAGCGTTTATTTAAAAAATGATTTAACCTAATGGTTTTACATATGTAATCCCGATATAAAGCCTCGGCTAATCTCGGGGAGCCACACGCGCTACGCTCGTATATATTCGCTCAGGGTTGATCCGCATACGGGAACGCGAGGAGGACGGACGCGTGCACACCTCCGTTCGCATCCCTCTTCCTATCTTTACGTTCAACACTGTGCAAACTTTTCTACTACYACTATCATTCTACTCTCCCTTCCTACATATAGATGTGTGTGTGTACACACATATTCCATCTCGCACCCTTTTTTTTTTGTTTGGTTTATTTCTTTTTTTTTTATCGTTTTGTTTTGTTTCAACTTTTTTTCGATGAGCAAGCAGTAACGAAAATCAGCGGCTTGCCGCGACCCACCACCACCACCACCAATGGACTGCTGCTGCTGCTGCTGTTGCTGTTGCTGTTGCGACACACAGTAGTTGGTGTTTTCGGAAGGGGTAGCTACCCCCGAGGTATCGGCTGCTGGTTTTGGCTTGTGTTTGCTGAGTCCGAACATAGGGTGCGTGGTAAGCCCAACCTACTAGCACTTCCCCACCTCCTCCTTCTCCACCTCTAGTGGACCAGGGGGATGATTTAGATGCTCCCCGATGATATCCGCACCTTTTTGAAAAATGTACCTACAACGAAGCTTGAAAAAAAGGTATATACCTTCGTTCTATCTATCTCACTCTCCCTCTCTCTTAAATACACGCGTTATTATACCACAAGCACATTTTTATCATCAAACTTTATCGTCGCACTGAGACAATTTCTCGTTGGTTGGTTAGTCAACCATTTTAACGAAAACAAATCGAACATCTATTATCTAGAATCAATGATATCAAACTTCAAAAAGCTAACGTTGTTAAAAACAATATTTTATATATGAAAAATATCAAATGTAAACCCTTTTTTGTTTTTCTCAAAAACAAAACCTCAAACGAAAATATTTTATTCCATATTTTCGATTTATTTTGTCATGTAGAATCATCCCCTTTTCGCTTGTACGACCATTTACAGATCACCCTGTATATACCAACTACTTAAGATTCTTCTAATCAAAGAATTCCGTCCGTAGCACCGTAGGAAAATTTAAATACGCTTAGCATGTCCTCTCGTCAACGAGATCGTCGTCGTCGTAGTCGTCGTTGTCCTAGTCGTTGTGGACACCACCGTCGTGAACGTCTCCTCCTTCTCCACCTCCTCCGAAACGAGGAGGAGAATAACGAAATAAAATCCGACTGCGAAAGAGAGACATATGTCGGTTCTTTTAATTACAGTAGTACGTGTGCTACCTTACGTGGACTAACGTGGGCTAACATTCCCACCCTCTACCTCTACCTCTGCTTTCAACAACCACCCACCCTTTTTTACTCTCTCTCTCTCTCTCTTTCTTTCCTACTTTGACCATTCCACACACATACATACACATACATTAGATAGCTAGGGCACATATATACTTAAATAAGTAAAGACATACATATGTATGCATATATATACATATATATATCCTTTTGTTTGCCATTTTCCGTCTAGTCATGTCGAGTACCCACCATCGGGTATCTTCTGTTCCGTTTCGTTTCGTTTCGTTTCGTTTCGTTTCGTTTCGTTTCGTCACGTCCAAAGACATAAATTTTCTTTTTCCACCACATACTCTTCTACATTTTCTTTTTCTACTTTCTATATATACATGAATACATATAAAGAAGGGACAAGTAAAATGTATAGGGGAAGCTTTCTCAACGTTTTGCGATTCGCGCGTCATTAGCATGG